TGTCTACATTAGTTCTGCCACTGTGTTGGGGTGGAGGGCGTGATTGCATGCCAGAGATTGAAAGTGTGGGGGGAAGGGCGAGCGATGGCAGGATCCAGGGGGCCCAAACAAATGCCTGCCCAGTGTCCAATCAATGTTAAAGACGGCCCTGGTGCTGTCCCCTTCCCCCCTATCCCTTAGTGCTCTCTCCTGCCCTTTAGTGCACTCCCTTTCCCCTTAATGCTCTCCCCTGACCCTTCTTAATGCTCTCCCCTGCCTCCCCGTCCCATTGTGCTGTTCCCTGCCACCCGTCCCTTAGTGCTCTTCCTCCCCCTTATCCCAAAGTGCTCTCTACCCCTCATTATTTCCTTTAGTGGTCTCTCCTCTTTCCTCCCACCCCCCAGTCTCCCTTAGTGCTGTCTCCACTCCCCTCCCTAGTGTGCCTCTTACCTCTTTGTAGCATGGTCGGGGGGCGCGGCTCGCGGTACAGGAGCTTCTGTTTCCTATACCCAGCTGGACTGACAGGAAGTGCTCTTTCAGTGAAACAGATGCTCCTGTACCGCGGTCGCGCAGGAGGGAGCGCTGTGCACTTCCCTCCCGCCGGGTCACTCAAATCTTGCGCCACCGGGGCCTATGCGTCCTAGACGACAACTTGTTCTTAAGTCGCCTAGAGGACGTGCCGGCACTATGTGTAGTGTGTTACAAACGTATACATTTACAAGCAATGCACATAACAATTTTAAAAAACCTAAAAACTTTTTTTGATAAAAGTGTGTAGAACATAAATAATCACATGTATTATTTTCATCATAAAATAGAAATAATAAAAGAAAATTTCTATCAAGGCCACAGAATACAATACAGACTGTGTATAGCATATTTTTCTAAAATAGTATTTATAAACTTGTTTGGCAACATTCCGTTTCTAATGCACACTGACAGAGCTTTCCAAAATAATGGGAGTGAGAATGTTCCTCCCACTCAATTTTAGAACACCACTCTATTTAGCAAATTACATCATCTGCTTACCCAGCAATGCTTTCCTATCGGGAAAATCTGATGCTGGAGGTCGGTGAGGACGTCCAGTGTCAGATAACCGGCCAAAGGTCGTTTTGGATTCCGGAAGCCCTCTAGTGGCTGTCTGTTTGAAGGCCACAGAGGGCAGACTTAGAGTTGCAATGTAAACATTGCAGTTTCTCTGGACCTGCAGTGTTTAACATTGTAGCATTAGGTGGAAAAGGGTCACAGCACCCAGACTACTTCAATGAGCTGAAGTGGTCTGGGTGCCTGGAATGTCCCTTTAATTGTGCCCTTCAATAAGAAGTGAAGTGTTCCACATTTATTTTTAAACTTAAACTCTTTTAATTTAAAAATAATTTACAGGTCAATGAGCTAAATTCTTATTTGGCATTTTCTATTATTTCATAAAATGACCATAAAATCAATATGCCTACTCAGCCCAAAAAATAAATAAAAATAATCTGCTTAAAACTTTTGCCTGATCTCGAAGTTCTCATATTATTTGTTTTTGCTTATTTATCTTCCCACTGCATTTGCAGATGTGGACTCTGTGCTCCCTGTGCTGAGACTTGTATCCGCTACATTTCACTGACGAGGTGGCCATACGAAGGCTGAAATGATTGTCCGAGTTTGCTGTATGTCTCGGGCAGATCTGGACTGTCCTCGTGGGCGGAATCAGTCTGATATGCAAATGGTGTAGGTGCACTCTGTTATGGCACAAGTGAGCAAAAAAACTATTTTGAGAGATGAGTGGAGATTCCTCAAAGGTCAACTATTGAGTTTAACACAACATCACGCAAAGAAAAAATGCATTGATCTGCACTCATAATCCAACACAGTATACAAGAAAAAAAAAAAACATAGACAAATGCACATACAGGGAGTGCAGAATTATTAGGCAAATGAGTATTTTAACCACATCATCCTCTTTATGCATGTTGTCTTACTCCAAGCTGTATAGGCTCGAAAGCCTACTACCAATTAAGCATATTAGGTGATGTGCATCTCTGTAATGAGAAGGGGTGTGGTCTAATGACATCAACACCCCATATCAGGTGTGCATAATTATTAGGCAACTTCCTTTCCTTTGGCAAAATGGGTCAAAAGAAGGACTTGACAGGCTCAGAAAAGTCAAAAATAGTGAGATATCTTGCAGAGGGATGCAGCACTCTAAAATTGCAAAGCTTCTGAAGAAAATCTAATGACATGGCCTCCCTTTGTTCACCTGATCTGAACCCCCATTGAGAACCTGTGGTCCATCATCAAATGTGAGATTTACAAGGAGGGAAAAAATAGTACACCTCTGAACAGTGTCTGGAGGTTGTATAAAAGCAAGGCACGCAATGTTGATGGGTGAACAGATCAAAAACACTGACAGAATCCATGGATGCAGGCTTTTGAGTGTCCTTAAAAGAAAGGTGGCTATATTGGTCACTGATTTGTTTTGTTTCTTGTTTCCTTTTTGAATGTCAGAAATGTATATTTGTGAATGTTGAGATGTTATATTGGTTTCACTGCACAATAACTAATTGAATGTAGGTATATTTGTTTTGTTGCCTAATAATAATTATGCAGTAATGTTAGTAATAGTCACCTGCACACACAGATATCCCCTAACATAGCTAAAACTAAAAACAAACTAAAAACTACTTCCAAAAATATTCAGCTTTGATATTAATGAGTTTTTTGGGTTCATTGAGAACATGGTTGTTGTTCAATAATAAAATTAATCCTCAAAAATACAACTTGCCTAATAATTCTGCACTCCCTGTATATTAACATATAATAACATGCAAAATAAGTGTATATAGCATGTATGATGTTGCTGTAATGGTCCAAACATATAACCTATCAGCATGAAGGAAACGTGAGTTACATAAAACACAAACAAATTCAAAACCTGTGAGCAGGACCACCCGCAGCTGCTGAACAAGGGGAAGACCACCAAGAAAGCCAACCCAGAAAAAAAGTTGGGTAGACCCTCAACACGTTTTGCACAGCTCCTGGTGCTTTTTTTAACTATTGAATTTATCTGAGCTTTTAGACATTCTCAGTGTTAAAAATAACCTAAAAAAAGTAATTTAAAAAAAAAATTTAGCCAAGGGAGCCCAATCCTGCTCCAGATTAATCTTTGTGTTTTCACAGACAGAAAGGGTTGAATAACATAATAAAAGGTTATTTTTATTCTTCATTGTCATATTTAAAAAGTTGCTCCAAACACCATAACGACTTAAGTTATTTGAAGTAAAAGGTTAAAATCACCTGATTAATATCGTGCAGGCCCCGCTGCCAAAACAACTCTGATGCATCAAGGCATAGACTCCACAAGACCTCTGGATGTGTCCTGTTGTATCTGGCACCAAGACATTAGCAGCAGACCCTTTTAGTCTTGCAAGTTACGAGGTGGGGCCTTTATGGATCGGATTTGTTGTTCAATCACATCCCACAGATGCACAATCGGATTGAGATATGCTGAATTTGGAGGCCAAGACAACACCTTGAACTGTCATGTTCCTGAAACCGTTTCTACATGATTTTTGCAGTGTTGCAGGGTACATTATCCTGCTGAATGAGACTACTGCCATCAGGGAACACCACTGCCATAAAGGGGCGGCAATTTCCAGGGGGCGGCAAAAAACGCCGCCCCCAAATGCCCAGGCAAATTCCTTGTTTGCCTCATTTTGTGGGAGCCCAAGAGCTGGCTGGCTGGCCACCTTTGGGCTCCCCCGGGGCAGCGGGCGGTTGTTTCTGGGCGGGCGGGAAGCCACACTAAGTTGTAAGTGAGGGAGCACTTTCCCCTGAGCTCTCTGCTCTGCTCCCTCGCGACACGCAGTAATGCCGGGAGCCGGAATATGATGTCATATTCCGGCTCCCGGCATCACACTGCGGCACGCGAGGGAGCTGAGCAGAGAGCTCAGGGGAAAGTGCTCCATTGCTGACAGCTTACTGTGGATGCGCGCCTGCCTGCCTGCACGCCCGGCTGCCTCCCTCCCTCCCCAGCAGCCCCACTGGATCCCAGGTGAAAAATCCACCCAGCTATCCCAACAGTAGGGAGGCTGGGTGGATTTCAATTTAAAAAAATAATAATAATTGTGAGTGGGGGAAATGTGTGTGTGTGTGTCAGTGAATGTGAGTGTGTGTCAGTGAATGTGAGTGAGTGTGTCAGTCAGGGAGTGTGTGTCAGTGAATGTGAGTGAGTGTGTGTGTTTCAGTGAGTGCGTGTGTGTCAGTAAATTTGAATGAGTGTATGTGTCTGTCAGTGAGTGTGTGTAGATTATGGAAGTGCACTCAACTCTTCGTCATGGAATTTAGGGTGCTCTAGTGGATAAGTCCCAGGAAGGACCAAACATGAAATTATGATTATAGAAAATAATCCAGGCACTCCAGCGAATTCAAAAGCAAAGGCAATTTTATTAGGACCAGGAACCAAAAAGCAACATTTTGACCCCTTGACAAAAGGCCCTAAGAGGTAGAAATGTTGCTTTTTGGTTCCTGGTCATAATAAAATTGCCTTTGCTTTGGAATTCACTGGAGTGCCTGGATTATTTTCTATATTCAAAATGTCAGTGAGTGTGTGTCTGTCAGTGAATGTGTGTGTGTGTGTGTGTGTGTGTCGGTCAGTGAATGTGTGTGTGTGTGTGTGTGTGTTGGTCAGTCAGTGTGTATGTGTCGGTCAGTGAGTGCGTGCATCTGTCAGTGAGTCTGTCACTGAGAGTGAGTCTGTCAGTGTGTGTCTGTCTATCAGTGTGTCAAATCAGTGAGTGTGTGTATGTCATTGTTTGTCAGTGTATATTAGAGTTAGTGATGTCGCGAACCGTTCACAGCGAACTCCGGTCAGCTGACACATCCCGGTCAATCTCCAGCAGACCCTCCCTCCCAGACCCTCCCACCTCCTGGACAGCATCCATGTTGAAGCTGCCTTCCAGCAGACCCTCCCTCCCAGACCCTCCCACCTCCTGGACAGCATCCATGTGGAACCGTTCGCAGCGAACTCCGGTCAGCTGACACATCCCAGCCAATCTCCAGCAGACCCTCCCTCCCAGACCCTCCCACCTCCTGGATAGCATCCATGTTGAAGCTGCCTTCAACATGGATGCTGTCCAGGAGGTGGGAGGGTCTGGGAGGAAGGGTCTGCTGGAGATTGGCCGGGATGTGTCAGCTGACTGGAGTTCGCCACGAACGGTTCGCGACATCACTAATGAGAGTGTGTGTCTGTCAGTGAGTGTATGCATTTATCAGTAAGAGTGTGCGTCTGTCAGTCAAAGTGCGGCCCAGGAAGGGGTGGGGAAAATGTAAATTGGGGGTGCCCGAGCAACGTCCTGCCGACGGCAGCAAAAATCCTAAATACACCACTGGGTGTACGTGGTCTACAACAATCCCTAGGTAGTTGGTAAGTGTCAAAGTAACAACCACATAAATGTAAGTAAAGAACTTTTCCCAGCAGAACATTGCCCAGAGCATGACGCTGTCTTTGCTGGCCTGCCTTCTTCCCATAGTGCAACCTGCGGCCATCTCTTCCCTAGGTAAACAACACACATGGCCATGCACCTGATCTAAAATAACACGTGTTTCTTCGGACAAGGATCTTTCTTCCATTGATCCATGCTCCAGTTCTGATGCTTACATCACCACTGAACATGCTTTCTGTGGTGGACAGTGGTCATAATGGGCACTCTGACCGGTCTGCGGTTACTCAGCAGCAAGCTTTGTTGCACTGTGTGTTCTAACACACTATCATGGCCAGAATTATGTTTTTTTAACAATCTAAACTATAGTAGCTCCTCGGTTGGATCAGACCAGACGTGCTAGCTTATGCTCCCCAAATGCGTCAAGGAGCCTTGGGCGCCCATGACCCTGATGCTGGTTCACCGGTCAGCCTTCCTTGCACCATTTTTGGTAGGTACTAATCACTGCATACCAGGAACACTCCACAAGACTTGTTGTTTTGGAGATGCTCTGACCCAGTTGTCTAACCATCACTATTTCACCCTTGTCAAAGTCACTCAGATCTTTTCGCTTGCCCATATTTCCAGCTTCCAACATATGAAATAAAAACACTGTTCACTTGCTGTCTAATATATCCCACTCCTTAACAGGTGCCATTGTAGCAATATAATCAATGTTATTCAGCTTTAATGTTGTGGCTGATCAGTGTAGTTTAACCCCTCTGCTAACTCTGTAACTTCACCTCCGACAGTGACATTGGGGGGGTTATTATCCAGCTCAGAACAAGAGTTCCAGGGTTTCTCATATCAATTCTGTACATACTGGTGACAAACAGTCAATGGTGGCATGGTCCCCTTCCAGACCATCTTTTCCCTACATCACTCACCTGATTGGATGTAAAGTCAGTGGGGTGAATTGACTGAGGGGAGAACTTGGCCTTGGTGCTGAAATGGAGGTTAGTATATATCTATATCTATACAAAAGCGTTATTTGTGGCATCATACCTGTTTATTTGTTAACAAATTGTTAGCAAACAAAGTATCACTTTTGTAACTTTTTTAAATATCTATTCTACTGGTTAACAAGGTAAAAAATGATTTTTATCCCTTTCCATCTCAAGCTCTGTTTATAAATAGGGGCATCTCCTATAATACTTTAAAGTATTCATTTTTTTTAAAATGAAACACGCTTATTAACGTTCTGTAGAACCTCATAATTACTTTAAAATCTCTTTACTCGTTCAGCCAACTTCTTGTCATCTTTAATCCTTATAAAAATAAACATAATCATTTTATCACCGGTTATAATTTAATTAACAACTGCTGCTTTGTTTTGCAGCCTCCGTACACTGGAATCTTCCTGCAGTTCCTAATAACGTGTTTGTAGGCTGCGATCCGCATGACTCATTGTGCATAACAAATGATTGCCCTGTGAGTTTTATTCAGTACTCCGTTCTTGAGCAAGACTCGTTCTCTCTTCATCTTGTCCTGAAATCACACACGCACACACACACACACACACACATTATGCCAGCAGGAAAATTGTATAGGACAGTGACACCAAAAACAAATGACTGATGTTTGCTGAAGGTAATGATCAACTATCAGGCTTGACAAAAGTGGAACCTCGCAGACCTGTCTGAATAGCTATCTGGACTTCGGTGGTTTAAGGTTCAAAGACTCTTCATCAGGTAAGTTTTTTTTAATCGGTTTCACTAACTTTGTTAAATGCCCAGCCTTTAAAAGTCTCTTTGCCTGTCAAGTATTTAAAAAAATATATAATTTACATTGTATAAGAGAAAGCCTGCTGTTAGTGTGGACGTTAGTTATGGCAATATACTAACAGGGTTTCTAGTAGGGGACAATATAGTTCCCATATTTTCCACAAAATAAATGTTTCAATGCTTTTAAAATCTTAAAATTTGTATAGTGGGATTAGCAGCAGTGTTAATTTTGGCATCAAATTTCAATTTAGTTTGAGTCGTAGTCTTTTGACTAAAAGGCCATTTTAGTTTTAGTCGTATTTTATGCATATTTTTGTTTTAGTTGACTAAATCTCCAGTAGATTTTAATCGACATGACTAAAATCTAATGGGTTTAGTTAAAGAATCTACCTGTTTCTTTTGCCCCTTTCCCAGCCCCTTTGTGTCACTTTGTGTCCTCCCAGTCCCTCTAGGTGTCTCTCTCCCAAACCCAGGCCTGTCTCGTTTGCCCTTTCCCCAGACCCTTTGTGTCAGTTTGTGTCCTCCCAGCCCCTCTAGGTGTCTCTCTCCCAAGCCCTGGTCTGTCTCATTTGCCCCTTCCTGTTGCGGCTCCCGGCCCGCCGCATAGCGCAGCCGTGCCCAACCGGCACGACCTCGCCGATATCGCAAGCTTACTTGCTCGCCGGCAAGCCGGGAACCGCTCCTCCGCGTCTTCTGGGCGTTGCGCCCAAATCAAAGATGGTGCTGACTACGTGGTCGCGCACACCACAAGCTCCGCCCCTCAAATTTATACGGACATGCGCGTGACGTCACAACGTCAACACGCGCACGTTCTGGGGTCAGAGGTCACCCTCTGACCAATCAGAGCCCAGAGAGGGATATTTAAATCCCTAATTCACTCCAGTTCCTTGCCCTGTCGTGGTTTCCTGTTCCTGGTTCCCGAGAGTGCGTTTATCTTTGTGTCCTGGTATCCTAATCTTGGCTTTTTCCTGGTTATTCTGAACTCTGGTTCCCCTGACTTGGCTTGTTTAAACGGTATCTGAGTATTTCTGGCTTCCTTGACCTCGGCTTTCCCTTTGACCATTCTCTATCTCTAGCGTATTATTCCGGCCATTCTAAGGTCCGGTTTACACTCTGTCCTTTTATTTCCTTTCCTTTTTTATGTATATGTTTCCATAGTTTCTGCATGTTGGACCACACTAGCAGCCATGACATTATGACAGGGCCATGGATCCTGCGGAACTATGCAAACATATGATTGCCTGCAGGGCCGCCATCAGAAAATATGGGGCCCATGACAAAGCACAAGGTCTGGGCCCCCCCACCCTCCTCGCGGGCCCGCCCACGCCCTACCTAGTCCACTCACAATGATGCAGGACTGAATGTGGTGTGTGTATAGTGGAAGTGAATTAGAATGTGTGTAATGGATGTAGTGTTTGTGTGTATTAGATACTGTTTGTGCAATGAATGCAGAGTGTGTGTTTGTGTAGCGGATGCAGTGTGTATAGTGAACGCAGAGTGTTTTTGAGTAGTGGATGTAGTGTGTGTGTGATGTAGTGTGTGTACAGTGATGTAGTGTGTGTTTGTGTAGTGGATGTAGTGTTTGTATGTACTAGATGAAATGTGTTTAGTGGATGCAGTGTCTGTAGTGGAGTGTGTGTATTAGACGCAGTGTCTGTGTATAGTGAATGCAGAGTGTTTCAATTTGTGGTGGATGTAGTGTGTGTACTGTGAATACAGGATGTTTGTGTAGTGGATGCTGTGTGTTCAGTTAATGCAGAGTGTATGTTAGTGTAGTGAATGCAGAGTGTGTGTCAGTATAGTGAATCCAGAGTGTGTGCATAGTTTAGTGAATGCAGAGTGTGTGTTAGTGTGTAATGAATGCAGAGTGTATGTTAGTGTGTAGTGAATGCAGAGTGCGTCAGTGTAATGAATGTAGTGTCTGTGTTAGTGCAGTGAATGCATAGTGTGTGTAAATTTGTAGTGAATGCAGAGAGTGTGTTAGTATGTAGCGGATGCAGAGTGTGTGTTAGTGTAGTGAATGCAGTGTTAATGTGTAGTGAATGCAGAGAGTGTGTTACTGTGTAGCGGATGCAGAGTGTGTGTTAGTGTAGCGGATGCAGAGTGTGTGTTAGTGTAGCGGATGCAGTGTGTGTTGCGTTAGTGTATGCAGTGTGTTGTGTTAGTGTATGCAGTGTGTGTGTGTTAGTGTATGCAGTTTGTGTTGTGTTAGTGTATGCAGTGTGTGTGTGTGTGTGTCAGTGTATGCAGTGTGTGTGTGTTGTGTTAGTGTATGCAGTGTGTGTGTGTTGTGTTAGTGAATGCAGTGTATGTGTGTGTTATTGTATGCAGTGTTTGTGTTGTGTTAGTGTATGCAGTGTATGTGTGTGTTAGTGTATGCAGTGAATGTGTGTGTTAGTGTATGCAGTGTATGTGTGTGTTATTGTATGCAGTGTGTATTGTGTTAGTGTATGCAGTGTATGTGTGTGTTAGTGTATGCAGTATATGTGGGTGTTAGTGTACGCAGTGTATGTGTGTGTTAGTGTACGCAGTGTATGTGTGTGTTAGTGTATGCAGTGTATGTGTGTGTTAGTGTATGCAGTGTGTGTGTGTTAGTGTATGCAGTGTATGTGTGTGCTATTGTATGCAGTGTGTGTTGTTAGTGTATGCAGTGTATGTGTGTGTTATTGTATGCAGTGTGTGTTGTGTTATTGTATGCAGTGTGTGTTGTTAGTGTATGCAGTGTATGTGTGTGTTATTGTATGCAGTGTGTGTGTTGTGTTAGTGTATGCAGTGTGTGTGTGTTGTTAGTGTATGCAGTGTATGTGTGTGTGTTAGTGTATGCAGTGTATGTGTGTGTTAGTGTATGCAGTGTGCGTGTTGGTAGTGTATGCAGTGTATGTGTGTGTTATTGTATGCAGTGTGTGTGTTGTTAGTGTATGCAGTGTGTGTGTTAGTGTATGCAGTGTGTGTGTGTGTTATTGTATGCAGTATGTGTTGTTAGTGTGTGAT